ATCAACAACAAGGCCTGCTGGCGCGCACGCACACACACACACACACACACACACACACACACACACACACACACACACACACACACACACACACACACACACACACACACACACACACACACACACACACACACACACACACACACACACACACACACACACACACACACACACACACACACCACACACACACACACACACACACACACACACACACACACACACACACACACACACACACACACACACACACACACACACACACACACACACACACACACACACACACATGTTGACATGTGAGGAGGGGTAGCTGCAGGAGTAAGGGAATACTATGGGGAAATGGTGGGATTAGGCCTGTTGCGATAATCAATAAATTGACTTATCGTACGATAAATACGCAGTTACAACGGTGCCGACAATATTATCGTTTATCGCAATAATTTCCGGGAAAATGTATCGTCCAACAAAATTAATTATCGTGACAGGCCTAGGTGGGATTACTGCAGCTGGGCAGATTTTAGAGCTTCATATAGATTACCCTGGGACTGAAGGGACAGTCAGAAGATGCAGGAGGCGTGCATGACACTGTGACCCCTGCTGTCTAAATGAGGGACTGCAAATAATTGCATGTCAGAAATGCTTAAACATTGCACAAGTAGAGCTACATTTACAGAGGCGTTAGTTCTGATTTCACGCCCGAGTGTGCATGATGAGATGAGAGTAAACAAGATACTCCAGGATCTTTATAGGCATAACTTTCATTCCTGTTGTTAAACCCTTATTAAATGTGGGGAAAGACGATTTAAGGAACTATGCCCTTTGAGTGTGTATTATTAGTACTTCACTGTCCTTGTTTGGTGTGGAGTGCAATCCCAGTGTATGGTGGCATGGAGAGTTAAGCTTCCTGGAGCAGGTAGAATAGATGTAATCAGACACGGAGGGGGATGAGGGAGGAGGTGGTGTGTGTGGGCGGGGAGGGGTTGGGGGTGTCGCGACGCTGCTCTGCATCATAAAAAGGTTCTTCCCATCTTGGGGATTCTCAGCACGGACGCAACATATTACCTTTCTCGTCTGCTTTCATTTAAAATTCATTTTTGACGCGTGGAAGGGAAGCGACCCAAGTCTCTCAATGACTCACAGCTGAAGAAAGAGGTTTTTATTTCATTTCTTGTCCGAGCACCCCACCATTAAGATGGAAATATTCCCCCATCGCTCTTAAAAATTGTGCAGCCCTCAACACATTCTCAACAATTATTCACTTGCAGGTAAATCTGGTGCTTTGAGTGATATCTGCGGTCAGTACACACGGGGTGGTCTCTGTACCTCTGCTGAGGTCACCTCAAGGGGAGTTCCAGAGATGGGAATTATTACAGCAACATATTTGTATCCTTTAGGGACAGGTGTATTGGCCCTTACGAGAGATTATGATGACAAATCACTTCAAAGTAGAGATGCACGATATAAACCGGGTTTTAATAATAAATGTATAATATTATGTATTAAATCGATAATAAATTCAGGCTGATAAATGAGGGTCCAAGAATCCAAAGCCAAATTGTTACACACTACAATACAGTACAGTTTCCACTTCCAAAGTTGTTTTGTGATCTACCAATATAAATGAAGAGAAGAAGAAGAAAATCGTAAATAATAATGCAATACATTTATAAAATCTTTATTTTTGTTGTTTTAACAATTGGTTTGGTCAGAGCTAAAGAATATTGAATCTTTGCTCACTACAACTTAGCCTTTCTAACCGTCAAGTTTACATAAACAAAAGATTATGAAATAATAGTTTGGAAATTAGTTGAAATTATCTTATTAACTGCATTGGAGATAAGAAGAAGGTGATTATTGATAATTGGTATCAATGGAAAAACTCCATATTATGCAACCCTATTTTAAAAGGCTTTTTTTTTTATGTTCAGCCCATTTTATCATTATCTTGTTATCCTAGTGTATTTTGAGACAACTTGAATGAAACACAGAACATGTGGGTTCTATCATTAGGCTAATTTAAGTTAATTTAATTCATTATAAGGTAATTATAGGATGACTTAGGAGAGGGGTTATCAGTGGAGTCATGCCGGAGGTTGAGCTGAAGGGTATTTTGTTGCGAGTGATGGCTTCTCCTTCCAGAAGGACATGAGAGTCAAAGGGTCGGGGGCTGGCCACTAAAGCCCTTGTCAGCCCCGGCGTTTCTGCTCCGGTCCCCGGGGGAGATTCAAAGGAGCAGGTCTCTCTCCTCTATTACCCAGCAACCCCTCTGTCCTCTCCGATCTTCTGCTCTCTTTCCTGTCTCTCTCCCTTGGCCTGATTAATAATGAATGAAGCAGATCATCTATCGATCCCATCCTCGTTGTGTTAGCACAGCAGAAGATATCAAACCTGTCAGAGGATCTTAAAATAGCTCCGTGATTGTGATGGTAGTGGGAGAGGTTGTTGAGTAAAAAGTAGGGGCTTGTTTTTCAATGTGGGAAAACAGGAGTTCAAAACAGAGGTGGAAGAAGTATTCAGATGATGTAGAAATACCACAGTGTAGAAATACTCTGTTACAAGTATATGTCCTGTATTCAAAATGAATCTTAACTAAAAGTACAGAAGTAAAGGCATCATATTATATTTTGTATTTGAATTGATGTATCAATTTGTTTGTTGCAGCTGATAAATGTTAAGCTAAATGAATTACTTTATAGACTACTTCGCTTATACTCAAGGTATAACCAAAGACTTATTTATGTGTTAATTGTTTTATCATTAATGCAAAGTAACCAATGTGGTCAGATAAATGTAGTGCACAAAAAATACAATATTTCCCTCTTCAAATTCAAAGGTTTTATTGTCATATGCACAAAGCTACAGTGTAGAAGTGCCAATGAAATGCTTCTGACCTGAGCTCCTCCAACAATGCAACATAAATCAAATACAAAAATACAAAATAGTGCAAAAAGTCTATATACATGTCAATTAATGTCTTAATTGTGGCAAAATAGAAGTATTAAGTGTCAAGAAATGGAAAAACTCAAGTAAAGTACCTCAAAATTGTATTTCAGTACTTAAGTTAAGGACTTAGTTACTGTTCACCACTAGTTAAAAGTGTATAAAGTGTGTTGGAGCAGCAGGACAGTAGTGGACTGAGAAAGGGCATACAGTCCTGAGTTCTCTCCCTGTGAAGGAGAAAGGTGATGATCTGTGATAAGTGTGAAACTGAAGATCTCTTATACCTTCCCAATCTACCTTTGGCTCTTCCCGAGTCTCTGAGAAATTCTCCACTCAGCCATTTCTGCCCTGCTGCTCTCACTAAATCAATCCCGCAGATTGGCTTTGCTCTCTGACAGGGGAGACCCTGATGGAGGCTAAGAGAGATGTATATCTGTCGCTATTGGTTAATATCACCAGTCAACATTATGCAGGGTTCAGTAGTACTTATGTTGAGGACAGAGAAGGAGGGGAAGTGCTGCTGGAACATGATCATTTACTGGCTTAACTGCTGGAATTCATCCAAGTTCTGCTAATTTCATTGTGTAATGTCTATTCAGATCTAGCCAGTCTCGGACAATTGACAGTATATGAGAATATATTGGAGGGATAATTCTCTTTTGGCGGAATGAAGACGGATTAGTCTTTCAACTGTTTCTGCATACTCATTACCAAGACTCTGAAAAACCAGCTCAAGTGGGTTTTTTTATATTTTTGGTTTGTAACCAATTAAAATAGTCTGTTTTCTTAGTTGATATGACCTCAAATCCTCTAGGAGTTGGAGCAGTTCCACCAAACTGAAGACCACGCATTGTAACCATATAGCAACTACTGTAAATAATGAATTTCCTGCTTAACAATTGGTTGAACGACCCATTCATTTATGGAATTATAGGCAACAACTTTGAAAATGTAAAGATAATTTAAGAACCGTTAATTTCTTTTAGAAAATCATGTTACTGTAAATCTCCTCTTTTACTGTAAATTGTTTTTGCTTTAGCATTTATTTAATTATAATTGTTTTGGGTCCTCGGATTTGTAATATCAGTAATTGTATCTGTTTAAATGTACCATATATTTTTCATTACTATTTGTATTACAAGTGGTATCTATTGTTCCCATAAATGTGGATATGTATAGTGCAGAAACACGGATCCAAATATAAATCTTTGTGGAGGATTGTGTTCATAAACACCATCCTACAAATATTCTAAAGACTGATCCCATCACCTAGAATCTTGTTTATTATATTATACTGTAGGCGTGTGGAGATTGTTTTCTGAACTAAGGATGCCTCTGATGCAGTTCGATGTCAGAATAATTCATTTATTTGTACACAATGTAATGTATGTGTATAGACAGAAAATCTGTATTTTATTTGTGTAGGTGTCAGTGTTTTATTCCTTTTCATCTTTGCTTTTCCCTTTTGGGAATGTGTTTTGTTTACATGAGATGTTAGTGCTATTCCTACATCGTACAGTAAGCAATGGCATCCTTTTCTTCCCAAAGGACAAGGATGTTCAAAGAAACACAAGTCCAGATTGACTTCTACTCATCCTTTCCCAGTCACCAATTAGTGCTTTTTTCTACTTATATCCACGGTCGTTGTTCTTTCAAGTGTGTTCTTACGTGAACTAAAGGTTATGTTCAAAGATAGGGTTGGGGAGAGTTGTATAGATCATTAATATATCAAATCTAATTGTAATGATGTCATCGGTATTGGCAGGAGGTTGGTCAAAACAAAGATAGACATTGCAAAAATTAATAAGAAATGTGCCTAATCCTGACAAATAATACATCATATATTACAAAATATGATGAAATGTTTAATATCCCTATAATATTGTTATTAGAGAAGTATTGCATCGTATTCTATAGTAAAATACCGTATTGTGTGGCTTATTTCAAAGATTGCACCAATGTTGTTGTTATGGCGTTTGGTTGCCCTTTATTTTTCTTCCCTTTCTTTATTTGCTAATATAAATCCACCTCTCTCCCTTTTCCATGTATCTTTTCAGGAGCACTTCACTCCTGAGTGCAAGTTCAAGGAGAGTGTGTTCGAGAACTACTACGTCACATACTCCTCCATGCTCTATCGCCAAACCCAGTCTGGCCGCTCCTGGTATATCGGTATCAACCGCGACGGACAGGTCATGAAGGGCAACCGGGTGAAGAAGAACAAAGGAGCTGCGCACTTCCTGCCAAAAGTTATAGAGGGTTTGTGTCCTTTGTGTCACTTCAGCACAATTCAAACCAGTTCCTCACTTATTAATCACCTCCTTTATTATTAACCGACAGATTCTATCTTTGTCTCACAGTTGCGATGTATAAGGAGCCATCGCTACACCAGCTCGCCCCTGAACCGGTGAGTCCTCCGCGGAAGACAGTGAAGACGTCAGATTTGCCGTCCCTGAAGAATGGACGGAAAGAAGCTCCCAAGGCTGATGCTTCATAGCACAGGAGACTGAGGGTGGGACAAAGGGCAGAAGTGACACTGGGAATACAGCCGCCCATTATGCACTGAGGGTGGCTGGGGTAATGGCCCCCAATGGCCACCTTATTCCAGAAGTGAGCTACGAGATTCAGAAAGATAACAGGTCAGCGGTCCATCAGCAGCCGAGAACACCTGAGAGAGGAGTCGTCCCCCCCCTCACCTGTCACCGCAGAAAGGAAGCCAAGGGCCTGAGCCAGAACTACTACCACCTCCCCCTCCCACTGTTTGTCTCTTTCTCCACCCCAGTGACTTCCTAATGCACAGTCTCATTCATTTCTCTGTCATGCTCGGGCTTCTTTGTCCCACTGACAATTTCATCTTTTCTCACATGCCAACCCTACCGTTCGCTCTATTGTAGTATATTCACCACTCACGCATTCCCAGCGCTGACTCGGCACCATAATCCTCACCCATGGGCCCCCTCTTGAGCCCTAAAGTTGGTGACAGTGCGGTTCAGCCTGGCTTTCCACCCACCAGCTGCCTACCAGCTAAGCTAATCACCAAGGTCAACTAAAGCTCAAAGTGAGATGAAACAGCTCACAGAGGAGATATATCTGCAGGGATCCTGGGTCGGGTCAGGTCGACCGAGCAACATGAGGGTGTGAGAAAGTAAAGAGAAAAAAAAACAGCTACATTTAAAGAAGAGTTTATAACATTAAAACTGATAACATTTTTCTTGTTTTTGAAAACTTAAAGCAATCCTGTGATAAAAAAAATGAATGAATGACAGCCCAAACACAAATAATGACTTGTATAGGAGCTGAAAAACGATAGCAATTAAATGTAAGATAAAAACAAAAGCAATGCCAACAAAAAAGACACTGCTTGCATCAGGGTCATATTAAAAATAAAAATAATAACAGCCACAGTTCTTCCTGGGAAGATGAGCCATATAATAGAGCATACATAACTAGAGTTTTCCAGACTCTTAAACAAATGAGCAATATTTGTACCAACAATCCAGAAGATACATCTCAGTGATGAAAAAAGAGCGAGTGTGTGAATGAGTGAGATGTGACCACTTATTATTGCACTAGCTTGTTTAAGGCTAAAATGTAACAACTGGGTCATGTTTTAAATCCATGGAAGACCTGAACTCAGTCACCTGGAAAAAAGCAGCCGTAGTGTGTACTTCACTCGGCATCTGCTGTCAGCATAAAGCCAGGTTTGAAGCCGAACATCAAAGCCAGAGGAGCCTCTGAGCTGGAGCACTTGTTATTCTGAGGACGTCTGGCAGCTTATCCACTCACTAGCTTTATCAAATCACCTTGGAAGAATCGCCCTCGAAAATGTAGTGAATGTCTTGGTGTGATTGTGTTTTAACCCCCCGTGTGTGGACGTCTTCTACAGCATGGATGCACTGTGTGTAAATGAGCGCCAGTACAGAGGATGCAGATAGAGATACTGTGGGTAACCTTAACCATGTCCTTCAGATGTGGCACGGCATTGTGTCTTTGATTTGTCTGGTCTTTGAATAGGTGACACTTACGGTAATATCCAGCTTGCGTACCATTATCTTCATTACATCTTTGGTCACCCCAATGGCGAACCCACAAAAGGCACCTCATTCATTTAAGATTTCAACAAGGTGCAATCAACAAGTGTTTTGTTTTTCGCTTTCATTTATATAGAATATTTTAAAATATACGATGAGCTGATTCGATCAGTCAGGGTGTTGGTTGTTGTTGGAAATGTTACCTGCTCTGGCATGCAGTTCTCATATACAGTTTGTAGCTATACCTTTTTTAATGAAATATTTTTCTTATTTTATTTAATGTTACAAAACAAAAATGACCATGTTCACGTCTTAAAGTCATCCTGAGGCCTTAGTTTTGGTTTAAAATTACACAACATCATGTATGTGTTGCTTCTTTTGGGCTTGTTTTCATAGACCTGGTTGCTTATTTCTCTCAAATCTGGCAACAGAGTGGGCAGGGCGCAGTGTCTAATAGTAGCAGTAAGCTAACGAGAGGCTACGTTCAGCTGGTGACTCGGGAGTCGGGACAGAGAAAATGTCAGGAGTTTGGAAGTATTATAAAATTGAAAGCGAAGGCAGTGTAACAGCCAGATGCAATGTTTGCAAGGCGGAGGTTCCGTGTGGTGGAAAGAACAGAGCTACGTTCAACACGACCAATCTAATACGCCACCTGAGAAACAAACACCAACAACAACACAACGAGTACACAGCGGCCACTCAGGTAACGGCACTGAAACAACCAACACTTTCAGAGACTTTTAAAAGGAAAGAGAAACTGCCCCAGAACAGTGAAAAGGCCAAAAAAATAACAGCCAAGATAGCTGAATTCATCGCGTTGGATGACCAGCCGTTATCTGTGGTGGAGAACGTGGGGTTTAAGGGACAACTTGAATGCTTTTCTCCTTTTTTTTCTCTTAATGCATTGCATAAAGATCGGATCGGGAAAAATCGGTATCGGCAGATTGTCAAAATCAAATGATCGGAATCGGATCGGGAGCAAAAAAAGGTGATCGGGACATCCCTAGTAACGTTACTTAAATCAGAAGTTGTGACAAATAAGCCAATGTTTGGTTTTCAAAAAACTGCGCAAGTGCTGTTAACTAATTAACGCCAATTCTTTGGTTATTGTGACCTAATTCCCAATATTTTCCCCAACCTAACCAATACCTTTGTTGCCTAAACATAACCAGGGTGTTTTCTGTGAAGACCAATGTTTATTTTGAAGACTGTATGCATGTGATGAGCAAATTTGGACATATGTCGTGGGAGATTCTTTGAAGAATACACATGTAATTAGAAATAACCTTTCGTAAAATAGCATATGAACCAGTGTATGAGGATAGGAAGGCTCTGGTAACTGACATCACAATGATTAGTCAAAGTCAATCATCCTGGATACCACCAACAAACATAGACAAGAATATGTGTCTTACGTAAGCAAGAGAAACGCTGGGAGATGTGGAAGGCAAGAAAAGAAAAAAGCTCATTATATGGTCGCTAACAATCACAGATAATCTCTAGGAGGTTCAAAGCATCGGGATGGGTTCTAATTTGAATGGTAACGAAATGAGAAGAGCGGGTACAGAATGTGAAACGGAGGCTTTCCGAATGTGCTGCATTGAGGGCTACAGCAAGTCTGAAATAGTGTGTTGAATTGTAAAGAGGTCAATGCATGGAGGCAGTTATTTAGAAAGATTAGCAGGTGTATTCTTGAGGAATGTTGATAAGGAATTTCTGCAGTAAAGTGAGTGAATTCTTGGCAGGGTTTGGTGCGGCATGTGGATATGATGATGAATGTAAAACAAAGAGGCACGTAAGGCACTGTGCGCTATTTATGAGAGGGGGTCTATGGAGGAAATTAGTTGGAGAGCTTTGCATTTTTTTCAGTCAGTTTGTAATTTTCTAGGCTTTTCAAGGGGGAATATGGTTCAGTACAAGTTTGGATATTTTGTCCTTGTAGCAGATTTTGTATTATAGACCTACAAATCTGTATTGTTGCCTCCCCGGTGAATTTGGTACAGCATAGAATGGCTTCCAACTGTGCATTACTAACTAACTGTTTGATATCAAAGTGTGTGCACAGCATACTATGCTATATAGGCTTATAGTTTTCCATTTTTCATCTGGGAGCTTCTTCATGCCAGTTTACATTTACAAGTTGGGGATAAGTTGGTTCTATAAAATGAAAGTATTAGGAGGTGCGCTCTGCACCCTTGACAGCAAGGGAATTTGGCATGGCAAAATGAGACATATTGGCCATTCTTTTTCTCTTAGCTTATACAAAATGCCTGCAAATCACTCTTATTATCAATCCATCCACTGAAAATGTTCTTGATTAATTGTTTTGTCTATGAAATGCCCCAAATTCCTCTAATAGTCTCCCAAATTAATGTTGTCCAACTAAGAGTACAAAGCACATGAATATACAGTTTTAAAGAAAAAGTAGAAAATAATGACATTCCTAAGGCTCTACGTCACAGTTAAGCAGAAAGAAAGTAAGCTAACGTACAGGCTTAACATGATTTAACTGTCACTTTATATTGTGTAAAACATTAGAGACTCTCTTAATCCTCCATAGATTTCCTTTAACAAAATGCAACCAGTCCTTACAATCGTAATAGAAAAGGATGCCAGAGTAAGTTGTCCGATGGTGATACTGCAGGTAGACAGACAGGAACAGAATGTTAACAAGTCCGATGTCGAATGTTAAGTGAAGAACGAAGAAGAATGTAAGACAGGAAGGTTTAAAGAGAGACCAGTAGGTTTTTACAATGAATGTGAAGTTAAGGATGTCGCAAAGTTCAGAGACAAGTAAGTGCAATGTAGAAAGTAGGATTTTGGTAGCAACACTAGTTCTGCAAGATCTGCTCTTGAATGTTAAAGTTATGGTAGAAAATGGTCATGTTGATGGAAAGCTAGCAATAGAGAAGCAAAGTGATATTAAGAGTTATTGTACTGTATGTTGATGAAAGTCGGAAAATGTTATGTGAATATATTTATCTTCAAAATCCAACAGAGGTGGTAAAACATAAAAATACAGATATAGCCTAGTTTGTGTGCCCACGCATGAGAGATTTAAAGTCCTAATCCCTTTCCTACACACCTCTTTTTAACCACAGCCTACAGTATCTGCGACCCATTAACTTTCTTTTCAACACTATGTTGCCTGTGTAGGTGTATACTTACAGTGTGTTTATAAAGTCTGTGTGTGTGTGTGTGTGTATGTATGTATGTATGTATGTATGTATGTATGTATGTATGTATGTGTGTATGTGTGTGTGTGTGTGTGTGTGTGTGTGTGTGTGTGTGTGTGTGTGTGTGTGTGTGTGTGTGTGCATCTGGGAATAAGCGTCAGAAGAGACAAGACGGAGAGGCAAGGAGAAAAAGAAAGGGCATGAGATTCAAACAATGATCAATAGACTCAATAAACCACAGCCACCCTGCGATGGGTTTGAAAAAATGTCCCCAAGGTCTTCCAGATACA